GTGTCGATTCCTTGTTTACATTTGGCTCGCGTCGACCGCTAAACGTAGGAAAGGACAGAGAGCGAACGAGTGAGGCTGTTTAAAATTAAATTTTTAGAGAAGTCTGACGAGTAATAGTCTTTTGGTTCCATACAAAATCGCGCCTCCATACACTCGAAAAAACAAACAATATTACTACATAAACAAATGTTGTTCAAATTATGCCGTGTTTGGTCTTATTTTGATCAGGAGAATTTCACAATTACATTGGTAAAAGTAATATTTAGTAAAACCAAAAAATAAAAAAGTTTTACTGTTGCATTAGTGTTGTCACATCGATACGCCGGTTCGGATTACATTACATACGCTGCTCGCTCGTCGAGTGTCAAAATTCAAGGGGGATCCCCCTAAGTGGTGGGGATAGTAACGTTGCAGTAATCCAGTCCATCGTTTGTCGCAGTTATCCAGTCTTTACTGTATTCGGATCAGATGGACGTTCCATGGTATGGAGAAGAGCGAATACCGAGCTACAATTAAGAAATGTAAAGCCTACCATAAAGCATGGAAATTTAGTTTTTATTGATGGGATAATGGACTAGAATAAATATTTAAACATTTTGGAAGAAAATTTAGCACCTAGTGCTTAAAAATTACAGTTACAAAATAATTTTCATTTCCAACAAGACAACGACCCCAAACATACTGCCCACATTGTTAAAGAATGGATATTATACAATACGCCACACATGCTGATTACTCCTCCTCAAAGTCCCGACGTTAATCCTATAGAACATTTATGGACCGAAATTGAGAAAAGATTAAGAGAAAATATTATGACAAGTAAAGAAATGTTAAAAGAAAAAATAATAGAAATTTGGAATAATATTCAACCTAATTACACCTCAAATCTCGTTCGCAGCATGCCAGATCGTCTCCGTAGTATTATCCAAGCTAAGGGAGGTCCAACTAAATATTGATTAAACAATTAAGTTTAGAAACCATGTTAATTTTGAAAAGTACGAATACTTTTGTTTCATTGATTTTCCACCTATTTGTAAGAAGGCACGTTTATATAATACTAATTTGTTAATTCTCTAATAAAATTCGTATCAAATAAAAGCTTATTAAATATATTATCCTACCCCATAAGTAACATTTTTGTTTCGATTTGTTAAACATAGAAATAATCATTTATAGTTGGAAGTTGTGAGGGTACGAATAGTTTTGGGACTCACTGTATTTATGATACGTTCGTACGCTGTGTCGACGAAATGCCAGTTCATTATAATTTTGTATTATTAGTTATAACTCCTTAATAAAACATTTAAGAGCATATGTTCATATAACTTTTGTTTCTTACTTTTGCGTGTAGAATACGTTGGCAAAATTTGGTCTAAAAAAACTGATTCACATCCATAATTAATACAAATGATACATTACTTAAAGAAAGGAAATACATTTATTAA